GGCACGGTTTGAGCCAAGTTGGCATCCCTGCTTCCAATAACTTACAAATATAAAAATGTGAAATATCGAGGGCTTGAATTCATTAATACCCTCTATCTGCAATTTGCACAAAAACTAATTTTTGATTTTAGAAACCATCTGGGACTTATTACCTGTCGTTATATAAAGTAACATCAATATCACTGATGACAGTTAAAGCTTAGGTGGATTTTTATATCAGAATCTCATCTTTGTGAAAAGTGTGCAGAGATAGAGGGTATTATTGAATATAAGCCCTCGATGTTTAAAATATATAAAAATTTTATTTCAACGTATACAAAAAATAAATTTAACTGCGTTACAGCACGGCGGGAGACGGGGGAGGGGGGGGCCGGGGGCCGCGGCGTAGCGTGACGTGGGGTGCGCGCCGGTCGCGCGGGGTACACGAGGCGCGAGCGCCACCGCGGCGCGCTAAAGCGGCCCGCCGCGAAGCTAAGCAAATTTAATGTTTGAAAGATAAATAATGTCAATGGATTTTATTTCGTTTTTAAAAAGGTAATAATGTCAATTGACTTTGTTTCGCACCAGGGTGGGAAATAAAGTCAATTGACCTTATTTCCGTTGTATTTATTACCTGTCACCTCAAGTAGAAAATATTCATGTTTACTATGCGTTATTTCCCTCAGTGAATTCATAACATTTTTCTGCATATTACAACGCGTTTTTTCTCTTAGTGTAGTGATTTTTAATCTTTTATTCAAATTTGTGCAATCAAATCAAAAACCGGGACACTAAAACGAAACCCGGAATATTTTAAGGTTGGACCGGGACACCGGGACAAATAGTCTAAAACTGGGACATGTCCGGGAAAACCAGGACGTCTGGCAGCCCTATTCTTAGTGCAAAAATGGAGTTGCATTTAGGTGACGAATTTTGTATGGATAAAACTACAGTAGCATTTAGAGCTAAATGCGCTAAGGCTGATATATTGGCATCACCACGTACCTCCATCGGCGACGCCGGATTTTCGTACATTGTTCTCGCATTAATATTTAATTAAATCAACAAGATTCACGATTTTTTGTTACAAATTCAGTTAAAGTAAACTATAGTGAACATCTAGATACCAATACGTCTTCATCTAATACATTCATTAACGTGAATTTAGTACAGAGAAAGTGAACTGAAATCGAACGGTTCTTTACGAATTACTTTTGTAATGTTTGAAAAAGTCAGTTTCCGCATTCGGATTCTTAACAGTAGCAGTAATACGCGTCGTTTGATACCCTTTTCTATTATTTGCACCATTTTTCGTTGGGGACCATGAACAGCACCATAACCAAATATACTATTACCCATGATAAAAAAAGGAAGGTAGAATCGCTGAGAGAAATTTT